TCAAGATGCAGTTCGCCCATGCCGCTTAGAAGCGTCTGGCCTGACTCTTCGTCCACACTGACGTGGAGACTGGGGTCTTCACGGAGGAGGAGTGCGAGTGACTCATGCATACGCTTCTCTTCGCTTAGGCTGTGCGGCTCAACACTGGTGAAGAATACCGGCGGTGGGACAGCAATTGGTCGGAGTTGGAGACTGGTAAGCGGCTCCGGGGGAGTGGGTCTGTTTCCTGCGTACGACACGAGGGTATCGCCTGTGCGGGTGTGTTTGAGCCCGACTACAACTCCGATGTGGCCGGCAGGGATCGACTCCACTTCCACAGCATCGTTGGCGTACATCTTCAGTAGACGTGGGGCACGCTCGGAGAGCTGCAGGTTTGTGTTGTAGAGAAGGCTGTTGCGATCTAAGGAGCCTGAATATACCCGTACGTAGACTAGGACTCCGCGCTTTGCGTCGTTGACCACTTTGAATGCTAGTGCACAACTTTGAAGCTTGTTGATCGCATCTTTTGAGCTGGTCTGCAAGGCAGTATTCTTTTTCTTTGGCTGTTTGCCTTTAGATTGTGAAGACGCCTTCTCACTCTGCGCCACAATCAAGTCTCCTGACAGCAGGTCACGAAGACCTCCATTAACACCGCCAATGCTCACCTCTGGGTCGGGAGCTTCAGGTGGGCTGGGAAGAAGATTCACGATAGAATCCAGCAATGGCTGAACTCCTATGTTCCGGAAACTGGCACCTGCAAATAGAGGGACAATCCGACTGGTCTGGTCCAATACGCACCGGCGTAAGCCTTCAATGATATCAGCTGGTGAGACGGCAAGATGATCTTCTTCACATTCAAAGAATTTCTCAACAATGTCTTCGTCGTGCTCACTAAGCAGCTCGATCAAGGCAATTCGTGCCCGTCGCAGCTCTGCGGCTAGAGCTGGCTCCTCTGCGTCTAGTTGCTTAAGGTCGGCTACTTTCACTGTGCGGCCATCCTCGCCTTCCTTCCATCGTAGTCCTTGGAGATGGATTGCATCTGCTACCCCGATAAAAGGACCGTTGCCTCCTTGGAACCACGGGATCTGGCAGACTGCTGGATAGACACCTAAGCGGGAGCTGACTTCTCGCACAGTTCTACCAAATGCGGCTCCGTCACGATCCAGTTTATTCACATAAATGACTCGTGGAATGCGATATGTGCTTGCCTGGTTCCAAACCTTCTCCGTCTGCGCTTCAACACCAGCAACACCATCCAATATACAGACGGCGCCGTCGAGAATGCGCAGAGACCGCATGACTTCGAATGTAAAATCTGCGTGGCCAGGGGTATCAATCAAATTGATAGTATGTGGGTAAGAAGACCGCGGATTTAGCTCATTCTGCGCCCCAGCCTGGGGACCTGACGCTCCATTTACCTCTCCAGGAGGCCAATGGAAGGTAATGGCGGCAGACTGGATAGTGATACCGCGTGCGCGCTCAGCGGGAAGGAAATCGGTAACTGTTGAGCCTTCATCCACATCGCCAATGCGCCGTGTGAAGCCACTGTAGAATAACATGCGCTCCGTAGTGGTAGTCTTGCCTGCATCGATGTGGGCGATAATGCCGATGTTCCGGGTCCGGTCCAGAGCTTCATCCTGGCATGCAGATGTTGTGGAGAAGCGTTGGAGCTGTTTGTAATTGGACCTCAGACCTTTGAGGGATGAGCATGTATTTTTGCATGTAACATTGCTCGTCTTATATAGATTGGAGCTCATACAGCGCACCCCGGTGGGAAAGCGCAACAACGGAGCAACGACCATTCCAAGGGGAAGCGCTCATATAATATGGGACAAAAGGTTGAATAATTATGTTGAAGTTGGCATTGAGTGTTAATGTTATTGATACAGTGGAAGAGTAACCTTGAACGCCCTAGAGCAAAGAAAATCGGACCGCAAAGCGGACTGGAGATCGCGAGGCTTGGCGCACGCATTCCTCCATACGTAACCGACTCTGACGGACCTACCTCTCTTCACCTAAATTCCTTTTGCTCATACCCTTGCTGTTTATTTGCTCTTTCTGCTATGCCAATTTAACGAATCCCAGCTATTCTCTCGATTTGGAGCTGCACGAGGTAGGTCTTACCTTTTGAAGCTAGCTGGCCGTTGCTGTGGGGGTCCGATCTCCAGCCATTTAACACTGACGCCTACCATGACCAGCCACTCCCCCTTGTCAGCGAACATAATCCTTACATCGACCTTCAACCAAGATGGACTACTCGACCATCTCTACCGACCCAGATCATCCCGCTGGTACCTCACCCTGGGCCTCACCGCGTGCTGAGCGAACCTTCCCCACTTCCAACAATGACATCCCGTCCTCCCCTTTACCCGGTCAGGAGCAATCGGCCGAGGGCTTTGCCAGGGGTGGCATTGTAGAACCCCAATCTCCGGACCTCTCTGCGCAGCTGCAGAGCGCACAATTAGGAGACCCGGACTACCCCGGGGAGCATCCCCCATTCAGTGTGCACCAGTCTCCAAACCTCCACCAACAGCAATCTCCCGCCCCCGCACAATATCAGACCGGAGCACGACAAGAGCCACGGCCCCCCGCCCCTACTTATAGGATTCAGGCAAAAATCACTGGTCTGGAGAGGACGGGGAAGAAAGACCCAATCTTGCGGTTTGACGTCCACGTATGTCTGCTCTTTTGAGTATTGTGTCTCTGCCAATAGCTAATTCCTGCTTGCTTTGAAACCAGACCAATATTCCCAAGTTCCGCACCACCCAGTATCGCGATGTGCGTCGGACCCATTCCGAATTTATGAAGCTCGCAGACCACCTAGTCTCCGCCAACCCGGAAGCCTTGGTCCCTGCCGTGCCATCGCCAGTGACACCGGCCGGTGCAGGCACCGAGGAGGACGAGATTCGCATCAAATCGGCAATGCAGCGATGGCTCAATGTTGTGCTGAGCAATGAGGTCCTTATTCAAGATGACGAGGTTGTACTGTTCGTGGAGAGCGACTTTGGCTATAGCCCCGTGCTGCGGATGAAGCAGCCGGCGACAGGTGTGCGACGCAAGATGTTGAAGCAGTTCGCGCCGCCCCCAGATGACACACCTGAGTTGCAAGCTGCGCGTCCAACAGCGAAGATGTTCTACTTGGGATCAATGGATTCGAGCCACAAGGTCGACCGAGTGGTTAAGGCCCGCCGTGGTATGTTACTGGAGCTTCATGCTGTTTTAGTTCTATATCTTGTTCCGATTGAATCTGACTGTTTTAGGGCTTGGGTTGGCTGAGGCCGATTTCGGTGTGAAGCTCGGTCAGATGAGTGTACAGGAGACTCATCCCGGCTTGGGCGCCGCTTACCGTAAGCTTGGCAAGATTGTTCAAACCGTTGGCGACTACCACGCTGTTCAAGCCACCGCGGAGGCTACTACCCTCGGCGAGCCGTTGAGTTATCACTCTTCAGATGCCTTCATTGTGAAGGAAACCCTGACCAACCGCCATATTCTCCTCCGTGAACTACTCCAGGCCCAACAAGCTGCACGGAGCAAACGTGCTGCAGCGGACCGCTTGAAGGTTAGCTCATCGGTGCGTCCGGATAAGGTAGATGAAGCGATCAACGCTCTTGAGGAGGCCCAGAACCATGAAGATTACTTGACCAAGCGGACCCAGCGTGTCACGTCAAATCTTCTCCAGGAGAAGCGTCGCTGGTTCGACCGGACCACCCAGGATCTTCTATTTAGCCTGCGTGAGTACACTCTCCGCCAGATCGAAGCCGAACGTCGTACGCTGGCCACCTTGGAGAGTGTTCGACCGGACATCCGTGCCATTGACGCTTCCGGTGGTCTGAGCCGGTTGGGTCGTGAATCTCACCCGGCGACACGCCGGCCAAACATGGCTTCGAGCCAGGGCCCCAAGGGTGACTCATGGAGTGGTGTTCCTCGCCGCAATGACAATATTGGACGCAGCATGAGTGGAAGCTTTACTGCACCCTCGCTCCCCGATGACGATGATGAGGTGAATGGTCAGGGTTCTGGCAAAGGGCGCAACCGAGCTTCCAGTCAGGTTGGGTCGATCGCGGAGGAAGACGATGACCGTCTTGATGCGCGCAATGCGGCCAGCCGACTGGCCACTAGCACGTTCTGATCGGATTTTAGGACGCAACAAGTCTGTACATGTAGCCCCGGCACGAATTTGTGATTCCCCTTTGTTCCTCTTTTAACCTTTTCGTGTCCTGTTATGTTATCTACGCCTATGAACAATCAGTATCTCTTTTCTGGTCACTTCAAAGGTTTCAAATCGATCATAGTTGCAATTGTTATGTATGACTTCCAAAAATGCCGTGGTGGCCATATCTATCCCCTGTACCAACATGAGGCTCCTCGAATGCTATCCACCTAGTCATACCATGCTACAACTTATCATATTCTCCTGACTTATCCCACCTCTTTGATCCATCTCCCTTGGGTAATTCAAACCAAGACGCTTTCTCACTGATAAAGATATGATGGCTTGGCAGCGGGATCTGCGTCTTCCCCTCATCGAGTGTCCCCGCAGCAATTGCGATACTCTTTTGATCACAATGCTGGAGCATACTTAGAGTTGAACCGCATCGAGGACAAAATGTACGTGTAGCAACATCGGTTGTCCGCCCTTCTGTAGGATTGATATTCCATCGGATATCTTCAGTTGCGAAGAATGCCCAAGTTTGATAGGGTGCGCCGGCTTGTTTTCGGCAGGTTGTGCAGTGACAATTGACTAGACAGGTTGGAGGAGTGGAGGTCATGTAATTGATATAATGACAAGCACAGCTGCCAGAGGCCATTGTCAATATTGGCAGGAATTGGATTTGAGATGTGAAGATACTCGCTCTGACATCATGTGGGGCAGTGAAGCTCTTTAAACCTGCCCAGATGGCGATTGTAGATTATTAATTGGCGTATATTAAAACAGGAGCTGCAATCCCCCGTTGATTTCAAAGCACTTCAACTTCTCCAACCTTGGCATCGGAAGCTTATTGTTTCGCTTTTTTTATAAAATGGCTCCTAAGGTTTTCCTGTAAGTTCTCAAGGTGTAAATTGGACATTCAAACTGACAACTTCTCACAGGACTGGCGCCACTGGCTACATCGGCGGGGACGGTTTGTTTACTATTGCTAGCACCCACCCTGACTGGGAATTCTCAGCCCTGGTCCGTAGCGAGGAAAAGGCAAACCAGGTTACCAGCAAATATCCGCAGATTAGGACTGTGATCGGTGATCTAGACTCGTCCGAGCTGATCGAAGAAGAAGTCAAGAAAGCAGATATTGTCTTCCGTATGTCTATTCAGTCTCCTGTATCTGGATACCGCGTCGCTAACAACTTATACACAGACTTCGCTGATTGCGATCATGTTGCCGCAGCTAAGGCCATCACTAAAGGCGCTCAGCACCATACCCCTGAGCGTCCATTGTGGCTGATCCATACCTCCGGTACTGGTATCTTGACGGTCGAGGACCAGCGCGCTGGCACTTACGGTATTGAGCGCCCTAAGGAGTATAACGACTGGGAGGGTGTCAGTGAGCTGGTAAACCTTCCATCAGATGCTTTCCACCGTAATGTGGACGAGATCATCATCGGGGCTGGTCAGCAGAGTCCCGCTAGTGTGAAGGTCGCAGTCGTTTGCCCACCTACCATCTACGGTCCTGGCCGGGGCCCTGGTAACACAAAGAGTATACAAGCCTACTTGCTCAGTGCTGCAGTGTTGAAGCGCAAACATGGTATTCTGGTTGGAAAAGGTGAGAACATCTGGCACCAGGTTCATGTCCAGGATCTGAGCAATGTCTATCTGGCCCTGGGCGAAGCAGCCTCAGTAGGAGGTGGCAAGGCTACCTGGAATAACGAGGGTTACTACCTCGCTGAGAATGGGTCCTTTGTATGGGGTGATATTCAACGCGCTATTGCGCAGTCTGCTTTTGATAAGAAGCTTATTGCTTCTCCTAATGTTGAGTCTCTCGATGGTGCCCAGACGACCGAGGTACATCCTGCCGGAGTCTATGCTTGGGGCTCTAACTCTCGCGGCAACTCGATCCGTGCGCGCAAGCTATTTGGTTGGACACCCCAGAAGCCTAAGCTGATTGATCTTATTCCTGATATTGTCGAGGGTGAGGCTAAGTCTCTTAGCTTGCTGTGAGGCTTGAGTCTATTGTTAATTTCTGAGAAATTAGTCACAAATGAACCTATTAAGAAATGTGCACATTAATTGAGACTTCTGAGCTAGAGGATAGGTATGTAGGTTACATTGTAGTGAAGTATTGCTTTGGTGAGCTCTATATTCATAAATCCATCTATATTATAGATGGGGTGCTACCTAGCGGCATTTACTATTCGTGAGACTTTTGGATAATACTCCATTTGAATGCTTCAATAACCTATATGAACAATCAATAGCGAGAACAATAGAAGTTACAATTCATTGTTGAGAGTCAATTGAATATATCATCGACACCTCAGGCACCACTAGCATATCAGGTCCAACCAAGCTTTGACCATCAGCATCTTCCATCTTCACCTTACACGCCTTTGCTTCTCCACCACCTTATTTTCAACGAACGGTCTTTTCTGGTACGTTTGTTACGCGCATTATTTGCCTTATTTCCTTGTTCGTCTTCTTTCACCACAAGTGCTGACATCTGTCCTTCCGGGCTCCTACAGAACCGACTGCATGAGTTGGAACCTTTAGCGTCTAGTTCCACCGTTGTAACCCCTCGTGTCTAACCCGGCCACCTATCATGGCGCCTGGGTACGGGCATGGCAAGCGGAAGCGCAATGAGCGCTCGTGGGGCGGCGACCCTGGAAACAATGACCTACGACCTTCACCCCATCGCCCTGGGACCCTCAACATGGCACACCACCCTAACAACCCCGGACACCAATCCCCCACCCCCCGAGAGCAAAACGACACGCGTGACAGATCTCGCCGACAATCGCACCGCAGCCGGGCTGGTTCCCGCCGCGGATCCCACGAAGGTCAGAGTTTTTCGAGTTCGCAGCATCGGGAACCGAACGCCATGTCTCCTCCCCCAATAAATCAGTCAAAGGAACCTGCCGAACCCTTGCCATACAACGGCGACTCAACCGCACCGCGACCTACCCCTTCTCCTGCCCCGAATACTCCTGCTTCACAGCCGCAACCTAACACGCCGTCTCGAGCTGGCTCGGAGGTTATCACCCGCCACCCCTCTCTCCCACCTCCACCTTATGACTATGAATATGTGACCGATAAGTCTGTTGAGGAATGGGCTTCGACAGGCAAGCAACATGTAGTTGAAGAAGGGACTGCGGCTCGCCTTCAACAGGATCTAGCTCGGCTTGCATCTGTCTACCAGGAGCTTATACGGTCCGCGATCTACGGTCGACTGTCGCCATTGAATGCGGGAATTGCTATCAAGGAGATAATTGGTGAAGAATCTGTGTCCCAGGATGTGGATATGGATGCAGACAGTGGGAAGCCTTTGGCTCAAGCAATCGATCCGCGCTCCTTGTTTCTCGATACACTTTCCATCGTGACTGACGCTGATACCTCGAACCCGGCTCTCAAACCACTTGTATTTGCGACAGGCATCGATCCCTCTTTAATGCGCCTTCAGCTTGAAACCCCGTTATTGCAGGCCCTGGGCTTGGTTCGCGAAACCTTTGCGCGAATGGGAATTCGCAAGCAGACGAATCTGCTCTACCGACAGTCCAACTACAATCTTCTCCGGGAAGAATCAGAGGGATACTCCAAACTTCTCACCGAGCTGTTCACCACCAGCAACAATGAGCCCCCGTCGAGCGAAGTGGTTGAGGATACATTTGAAAGAGTCAAGGCTATGATTGGCGCATTTGATATGGATGTTGGCCGTGTGCTAGATGTCACTCTGGATGTGTTTGCAGCTGTTCTTGTCAAGCAATATCGTTTCTTCGTGAAGCTTCTGCGAGCTAGCTCCTGGTGGCCGAAGGAAGACATCTTCCACAACCTAGAGCCAGGCTGTCGCCACTCCGGCATTCCGAATTGGGCACTTCCTGGATCAACTGGGTGGATTACGACTGATGAGGAGCGATCCAGTATCATGCGCGCGAACGAGGAGCGCGATAGTCAATTCTGGGATCGAGTGAGGCAAATCGGACTTCAAGCCTTCTTCGAGATCGGTCGCAAACCGATTTCAGAGGAGGAAATGCAACGAAGTCTTTCAGAAACCAACGGTTCATCCTTTGAAGAAGATGCTACACGATCATGGCTTGAAGAGACTGGCACTCTACCCCCGAAGGGCAACCGGGTTGCAGCACAGCTGCTTGGTTTCAAGTTGCGATTCTATGCTTCTTCCGCTCGAACCAAAGAGGACGTCCTCCCTGACAATCTTATTTACCTTGCTGCCCTACTTATCAAAGTTGGCTTTATCTCTCTTCGTGACCTTTATGCTCACCTCTGGCGATCTGACGACACCATGGATATTTTGAAGACCGAAAAGATGGCAGAGAAAGCGGAAAGAGTGAAGGCTGCCCGACCAGGTGGTGGAATTAACGCTTTGATGATGGCCGGCGCTTTGTCGGACGACACAATTCCTCCTTCTCGCCTGCGCGACGAGCCGCGAGTGGCCACTCCTGGAAAAGACCAAGAGTCCGATAAGGGCACATCCAAGACGGAAAACGAGTTGCCTGACCCATCAGACCAGAAAGTGCTGCTCCTCAAGAGTCTCCTCGCCATTGGCGCCATTCCTGAATCACTTTTCGTCATCAGCAAGTTCCCATGGTTGATGGAGGCTTACCCTGAGCTACCTGAGTTTATCCACCGTATCCTTCATCACTCTTTGAACAAGGTTTACGCCCAGTTCCGACCATTGTCATCAACTGGTGACTTCCCCGGAGCCCAATACATGGTGACCTCCGATCAGAACAGCGCGAAGGGCCAGATTGGACTTACGCCCCCACCCGCGAGGCGAGTTCTGCGATGGGCTCAACTGGATAAGGAAGACACTAACGATGGCACCGACTATCGGTTCTACTGGGATGATTGGGCTGATAACATCCCCGTTTGTCAGTCTATCGATGATGTTTTTGCTCTTTGCTCTTCTTTCCTCAACCTTTCTGGCCACAAGATCGGACAAGATGCGAGCCTATTGGCAAAGCTTGTACGAATTGGTAAAGGAAGCTTGATCCAAGACGGGTCTGAAGAGAACAGAACACGTTGGCGCGATCTTTGCAAGCGTCTTCTCCTACCCGCTGTCAGTCTAACAAAAGCAAACCCTGGTGTGGTCAATGAAGTCTTTGATCTCATCAGCTTCTTCCCGCGAGATGTGCGGTACAACATGTACGCAGAATGGTACTCAGGACAGACGTCCCGGCTGCCGGACATCAAGGAGGCCTTCGACCAGGCGAGGGCGGAAACCAAGGACACCCTCAAGCGACTTAGCAAGACAAATATTCGACCCATGGCCCGCGCATTGGCCAAGATTGCTTACGCCAATCCCGGAATTGTCATTAACGTCGCCATGAGCCAAATTGAGTCGTATGAAAACCTGATCGAAGTTGTGGTTGAATGCGCACGCTATTTCACCTACCTTGGCTATGACATCCTATCTTGGTCTCTCATCAATTCGCTTGGCCAGAAAGGCCGAAGTCGAGTCCAGGAAGGTGGGCTGTTGACAAGTCGATGGTTGAACGCCCTCTCCACATTCGCCGGTCGTACTTACAAGCGGTACTCGGTGATGGACCCTACTCCCGTCCTCCAGTATGTGGTGGAACAACTACGACATAACAACTCAACGGATCTCATTGTGCTAGAGCAACTGATCAGTTCGATGGCTGGCATCATTTCTGACAACGACTTCAATGACGCTCAAATTCAGGCCATGGCCGGTGGTGATGTTCTCCAATCACAGACCATCTTACAACTGCTGGATAGGCGTCATGAGTCAAAGACTACCTCCAAAAGACTGCTCAAGTCGTTGACCCACACCAGACTCGCCGGCCAACTGTTGGTCGCCATTGCCCAAGAACGACTGACTTGTGTTTACAAGGAAACGTCCTCGGAGCTCAAATTGCTCGGAAATATTTTCGACGAGATCCACCGAATTCTTACCCAGTACCTTGACTTACTTCGCAGCAATCTCTCGGTTGATGAATTTGATTCCTTTGTTCCAGACTTTTCATCCCTTGTCACGGAGTTTGGAATTCAGCCCGAAATCGCCTTCTGGATTAGGCGGCCTAGCATCGCCCGTAAAATCACCGACATTGAAGAATCAAAACAAGAGAAAGAACGTTTAGCCTCTTTATCAAAGTCGAGCGGCGACAACAAGATGGACACCGTTGAGGACGAAGAAACACCTACGAAATCCGACGAGACTTCGGCAGACAGTGCCATGGATGTCGATAAGGATGAGACAGGAATTACGATTCCGACCAACGGATCTGATTCCATCCTCGTTCCTGCGGTCAATGCCGAGCCATTGGCAGCCAACCCCGTCATGCAAGACTTGATTAACGATGTCAAATCTGCTCTCCCTGTCGAGACATGGGAAACTATCGGTGCCCATTTCTATGCAACATTCTGGCAGCTTGCCCTTTATGATGTTCATATTCCGCAGAAATCCTACGAAGACGAAATTGACAGACTGAAACGACGAGTCGTCTCTATCAACAACGACCGATCTGATCTTAGCGTGGCGGGAACAACGCGAAAGGAGCACCTCAAGCGCCAGATTACCCAGCTACAAGAGCGCATCCTAGATGAGAATAAGAATCATCTGAAAGCATACGGGCAGACACGATCTCGGCTGCAGAAAGAGAAAGACAAGTGGTTCGCCGGCATGCGCCTCAAGCATGACTCCCTCAATATTGCCCTGCTGGAGCAATGCTTCATTCCTAGGCTTCTTTTGTCCCCCCTTGATGCCTTTTTCTCCTTCAAGATGTTGAAGTTTCTGCACAGCTCTGGAACCCCCAATTTCCGGACCGTTGGTCTTCTTGACCAGCTTTTCCGCGAACAGAGACTCACTGCTCTCATCTTCTTGTGCACATCCAAAGAAGCGGACAATCTTGGTCGTTTCTTGAATGAGATCTTGCGTGATCTTACTAGATGGCATGCCGACAAGGCAGTTTACGAGAAAGAGGCATTCGGTGCGAAGAGAGACCTTCCTGGCTTCGCGAAAAATGTCG